TTCTACGATGGAAACTTTAAATTGAGTCCAAATTTTTTTTTGCAGTTATATTATGTTATTAGAATTAAAATGTATGATAGTTTTATTATACCAATATTTTGTTTACTTAAAAAAAAAACTCTTAGTAAATATGTAGAAATGTTTACTGAAATTCTTAATAAATGTTCCGAAAACAATGTTTAGCCCGACCCTAAGATAATGAACTTAGGTTTAGCAAAGAGTAGCGAAAACTGTCATTGGTGGCCATTTAACAATACAAGGTTGTTTTTATGATTTGAGCCAAAACTCGGATAGAAAACTACAAGAGTTAGGATTAAAAAATAAATATAATAATGATAACGCCTTTAGTCATTATTATAGTATGGTCGATGGCTTAGTTTTTTTACCAGTACAACAAGTAATTGAATGCATGAAGCACTTGAAGTCAATGTGTGCACCAATCAGATTTAATTGACTATTTTGATGTGACATATGTTACTGAATACTGGAACATTCAGAAATTTCGGGGTATCAAAATTCAGACGAAATAAGGCATTGTACACACCTGAAACATGGAACGTACACGAGGCTACATTACACTCCAGACACCGTACAAATAATATTTGTGAAAGCTGGAACAATAGGTTTGCGCATTTAATCGTGCATAGTCATCCAAAAATTTGTCATTTGGAAGTTGATTATTCAATTTCGAGAGGAGGTGGGGGTAGATAAAGCAAAAATAGCATTCCGTGGCATAGGAGTATAGGACCTATTAAAAAAAAAACACAGATCTGAAAAAAATATAAAATTACAATATTCATGTGTAAAAATTAGTAATAATGAAATGACGGTAGAGAAATTTTTAAATCGTATAGCCGTATAGGCCACTATTTATTAAAACGTAACTTTCGTTAAATGTTTTGACTATTTCATAAAACATATTTGTATTGAATTATTTTAAATTATTATTACTGTAGTCATCGATGTTTTTATTTTTTTTCAATTTGTGTATGGCACTTTAATTTACATTTTCGGACTTTTTGTCTGACAATAAAATGTGATCGGACTTGTCGTTCGACAACAAAAATATTAAGCCGGACTTTTAGTTCAACTTTTTTCAAAATGGACATGATTTTGTTTCCGTTGATTTGTGTGTGCCAGCTGAAGATTATAAGACTAGATTTTGCAGTAATTGTCTTTACATAAACAACCACAGCCCAGAGTGAAGGTATGTTTACTTTATGTGTCAATAATATTAAATTTATTTTCGGAATTTATAGTAGAATACCATTCAAACTTCATAGCATACCTATAATTTGTTTCTTATAATTTATTTTATTTTATTTTCAGTTGATTGTTTGAATTGTTGATAGAATTGAAAAAAAATCATTATGGAACAAACAAATAATCATAAATCTATTGTAAGTATTCAATACCTACTTCCATGTTGTACACTTGTACCCACACAATGTTACACATTTATAAAATTGTATTTACTTATTTGTAATAGTTATCATATGTTAATCAAGTTAATTTGCTCATTGTAATCTGAGATTACATATTATTTAATTCAACCTGACAAAAACAATAATTAACACCACGATTCAATGGTAGGACAGGAATAGTCACAATGGCAAGGGTGGGCATTAACGCGTTAATAATTGAAATTGAAATTGAAGTTAAAAAGTTCATTTTTTTATGATTATTAACTTAATTATTAACTTTAGAAGCTCTTGAATTAACTTTTAATTAACTTGAGTTAATTTCAATTTTCATTATTATGTAATATGCTTTCAAATTTGTATAAAATATAAATACTATTTTATGAAATAACGAATATAATCAATGCCTGTTATTTTTCGGCATCGTACCCTGTTATTTGATTCTTATCATTTTTTTAAAATTTATTTAATTACTTACCTATATTGTGTCTACAAGGGAGTTTTAGACTTTTAGCTATATATAAAATATATTTTATTATATTTATACAATTTAAATGAATAATTTAAAGTAAACTTTATGTTATTTCATTATTAAAAAATTGAAAATAATGAACAATTAATGCTTAGGAATATTTGCAGAAAAACAATAAATATAATTTCAAATCTGTATATGTTACAACTAAAGCGTTAAATTCCGTTATTTTATGAAATAACTAAGTAGTTCATGAATTACCTACGAATTTTATTTAAAGTATGAAATAATACATGAAAATAGTACTTTAACTAGTTATTTCCTAGAATATATCTAGTTATTCTATACAATTTCAGTTTGATATCCGTTAAAGTATAAAATACATTAAAATTTAAAATATAATATATCAAAATATTTTATTTTACTGAATTAATTATCGTTATATTATTTATGTATTTGTTCATGTAAGGCTATTATGGCATTTAGAGTAGCACAATACCTCTTTTTTTCTACAAACACATCGCTTTGTGCCACATTTTTTGGTACAAGTGCACTTAAAAAAACCCTGACCAGTTCCCAGTGACTGCGCTGTTGCCGCAGATCTTAATGTACTACTTTTATTTGGAACAGCTTCTACAGCTAACAAATTTCCTGAACATACTGTGAACTGGGATCGAGAGTGTAGTTGTACTAATACTCCTGTAATTATAATAATATGTAGGTAGGTATCAAATAAATGAAAAATAAAAGGACGTCAATCTTATCTGATTTAATATGTTATATTAAATTGTTGAAAATGTTAGAACGTTATTTATTTATCATGATATTTTGTTATTTACAATTTGACACATTAAGGAAGTGATGCCAGGGAATGTATAAAATTACTAGTTAAACTATAAATTATATACATTACCTACAAGCTTTAGTTATTTTATAAATTACCTAGTTATTTCATAAACTAACTGATTCAACACTTTAACTATAACATATATATGTGAATTTTATTTATTTAAAGTATACAAAAAAAATTTGTACTATTTCTTTAGTCTAATAACGTGAAAAATTTTAAGTACCAATTATTTTTATTTTACCTATATGAAAACAAGAAACTTTTTTTTTAAATAACTTAGGTAACTTGAGTTTAAAAGTTAATATTAAATGTTGGTTAACTCTTAACTTAATTCAATTGATAGACAATTTTAGATTATTATCGATGGCCATAAATGCCGAGGTTCAAATAAAAAAAAAAAAATTTTGGATAAGCTTTTAACTATTAACTTGATTTAAATTAAACTTAACTTAACTTTGTTAAAAAATATCACTAACTCGAATAGCCTTGTACAATGGTAAACAGAATATGTCTCTAGATTGCTTTTTTCTCTTTTCTTCTTGGATGAACATAAGTATCATGTTTTCATATACCCGATATAGAGATAGAATACCTAGTTATCATGAATTATTCATGCAATAGTAAGTAATAAACAACACTCTCTTTAAAAATGTATACATTTCAATTAATACTTTTTACAATTTGTATTATTTTAGGAACTAGGAAGTGTTGAATATGTTAAGATTGTTGTTCACCATTTAATGCAGTGCTACCAAATATAATATGTTATTATTATAATAAAATACTAGCTGATCCCGTGAACTTTGTTGCCTATTAAACATGCCAACTCTATGTGAGTCTCGATGGTGATAATGCGAGCAGTATATTATGCCTACCTGCTGTGGATTGCAGACACTGCTTGATGAGTACTTGATGTAAATAATATGTTTTATTTTGATTTTGATTGTGTACACGCCGATGAGTGCAAATCAGCCTCCTTGGTAGTCAATGTGCGAAAATTAAATTGTATGCAATCTTATACCTGATCTATCCGATGAACCACTGCAGGCAACCAATAAACAAAACAATATACCAATTTGTACTATACATACTTATATTTCTCCTATAACCAATAGCAACCTTATATAAACAAATATTGCCTTCGTAAATCTTAAAATCCCTGTTTGAGCAACTCCCTATTTTACAGCCAAAATATATTAGTTTTTGAGTTAAAGAATCTAATAATGTTAATTTTCATGGTTTATGTCTAAAACAAAGTCATAATGACTCAATTCTAGGTTGTCGTGATAATGAGATTGGACTGACGTTAAGGATTATGAATATTAATTTCAATTGGAAATTATTAGAGTTAAACTTTGAAAAATACAATAAAGAGGGAAAGATTGGAATAGCCAAAATCCGCGGTGATGATTCCTACCTCAACAGTTGACCGTTAACCAAGACGCATGAAATAGTAACGAATGAACAGGATGAGCAAACAGTAGAATAAATGTAATATTAGTACTTAACAAAGATATTTTACCGATTCAACCAAATATTTTATTTTTCCATTAAATAATATTATGTTCAAATAAAAACTATGGGTAATTAATCCATAATCGCACCTATAAAGCATTATTAATTTTATTTTTATACTAATAATATAAACTACTAATCGGATGAACCCATATAAAAATCATCGTTGTAGGCTTCATCTTCAGCTTTTCTCCTCTTTTCTTCTTTTTTTGCGGCTTTCTTAGCTTCTAAATATGTAATTAGAAAATATATAAATATAATAATAAATAAAATAACGGTGATAATAAATAAAAAAATACAGTCGAGTCTTCATAACTAGCCTCTAGTCTCAAAAAGTCAAGGGGAATAAAAATAAATTTGACGTATGTCTATATTTTTTAAATATTCTAGCTACTGTATAGCTACTTCAAAAATAATTAAAAACCCTTCAAGTGACAAGAAAAAAATTAGAAATATCGAAGTTTTCTTGTTATATTGAGGCTCTATATATCGAGATTGTGGAATAATATATGTTAATATAGAGGAACTTTATTAACCATCCTCAACTTTCTTTAAAGTTCTACTCAAATCAATGCTTGACAGCAATAATATAGCACCAGGTGCTATATTTTCGAATTATGTGGTTACCTTGATGACAAATTAAAAACACTTAAGTACGAAAATAAATATCAAGTTGTCCAGATTTCCTGATTATTGAGATTCAAATTATTAAAACTCTACGATATTTATTAAAATCAACCTTTCTCTTCTTTCTTTCTTGTTTTTTCACAGTTTTTCCCATCATCGTCACCTGAAAAAATTTCATTTTACGTTATTTAGAATTAACATGCTACTCAACTTATGTGTTTATCGTTAGTTAGGTTAATTAGAATTAATACGTAATAAACATTTTGTGTCCATAAAGTGTGGATTTCTAAATCTGTCAGATCAATTATACTGCACGTGTATTCTTCTTATTATTACCTAGCTTAGACGATTTAACATTTTGAATAAAATTATGAGTTTTTCTATGATATTTTTAATATTAGAGTGAATTTAACTATTTTCAAATGTCAAGGCAAGACTATATTATGTATGGCACCTCGAAAAAATTTTTTTGGATAATTTATTTGTGAGGTTATATAGGTATGAGAATTGTAAAGCTTAAAATTGTTTATAAATTATATAATATGCTCATAAGTTAAAATGTGTTTGAAAATTTAAATATCATGAAATGAAACACATATTTTTCTAAATCTGGATTTACATATTAAGTTTCATTTAGTACGTCGCCAGAAATAATTTTTGCGTCTGTTCTAAAAGCATCAAATATAAACATACTTTATCATCAACGAATAGTCTCTACTCCGTTGTTTCAGCACTGAAGAGCAAACATAAATGTCATAATACACAGCCCTCTATAATTCTATATAAGTTAAAAAATATCTATAATTGTATGTTTGTTTTAAGTTATGTCAATAGTACCCACTTATGTTATGAAAATGAACTGTTTCTATTTAAACTGTTCCTAAGTATTTTTTACAAGGCGTATTGTACTTCGATTTTCAATTTTGTTGCTTAATTCAAACATAATAAAAATAACAAAAGCTTATGAAAATGGTCATATTCAAAATACTATCTCATAGTTTAGAAATAGGAATTCAAAAATCCAAGTCCAATGCGAATTGTAACAAATGTTTTTTTTTAGAAAAAAAAAATCGAAATCGGATAGTGTCATGTGCAGGCCCCTTAAAAATATTACATAATCTCTATTCTGCAGGGTGGGATCCCTGACGTGTTAGAATACGATCATAGATATATAAATCAATTTATTTTATTAATGTTACTAAATGTTTTTATACCTATAGAGTCATATATAATTTATGTACAAACATATTTCACTTGTAGTAAGTACATAATAGATGTTTTATATGATCTGATCATTGATAATGAACCTATACAATTATAATAAGATTAATACAACCAGTAATCATTGTAAGAGACGTCTACTTGTATTTTGTTTATCTTTTAAGCAACATTGAGTTATTTAATATAAATAATTATTCAAAATTGAATACCTATACATACTTCATGAGAAAACAATTATTACTTACCAAAGCAATCACCTAGAAATTAGAATTGACAAAATTATTATAGAAAGATAAATCTAGATTGTAATTTATATTTTTTAATTACATATAAATACATTCGATTCACAATATATCGTAGATAATATTATGTGATCATACATGATTTATATATATGGTATAAACGATTTCTGGAGTAAACAGTTATAATATTTTGTTTATCTTATAAACGTCAAACAGTTATTTAGTACAAATTAATATGAGAAGCTTAAATGATAAACATAGTTTCAAGTTTGTACAAAATTATAATTACCTAGTCCTGGACTTTGCTGTGACTTATCGACCAATGTCATACAGATACCTAGCACTGTAAGCATAACATAACACTTGAATACCGTTGAAGGCATATTTTTTTTCACAAAACAGTTACAGTATTTTCACAATATAACTTCTTATGACTGATTAGTTACAAATAAAACTGTAAGAAATGAGAGAATTCGGTATATATAGTAGTATATACCACTTTTAACCCTTTTTATGAGCCCTTCTGGTTGCACAGTTGTTGTTGTTTCAACACAGATTTTGATCGTAATAAAATACGTGTGTAATTTTATTTTCGATTATAATACCTTAGATCTATTCGTAATGTCTAATTATAAGACTAGCAGTGGTAATAAAACATTTATTTTTAGATCATTTGTTTTTCACCAATAAGATCTCAGTCAAATTTTATGTTTTTGAACTTTCCAGCAATAAGTTTAAATATAAGGCTTTAGAATAAATACAATTAATAAAATAGTAAAATATAAACTATAAATTATTAAATGAATTGTGATAAAGTATTTTGATACACTTGTCTTTTATACTTTTTGTCAGAATGTTATAATATAGTTATTATAATCTTGTAAAAAGGCAATTTTCCCGTAAATATAAATTATAAATATATAGAGTGTTAACATAGATAGTTGACTTAATATTTTAACTTGAATGAATTTCCACTGATTCCTGACCTCAGCACTCCAATACGATACATTTTATTATTATTATTAATACAAGACGTTCGGTAACATGAACCATTGGGTTTATAAAATATAGTTTAATCAATTACACAATACATTGTGCAACTCTTATTAATTCATTTTTGAAGACTTATTCGACACGCTCTACAAAAATATTAAAACTCGAGTTGATCGGGATGTACAAATATTATATCTCTAAATTTTTTTTTTTATAATAACAATACCCTTGGGAGTCAATATAGGTAAACTTAATGCTAATGTTTGAGAAATATACGTAATATTTCGTTTATAATATATATAATATTTGACTTCCCCGCCCTTTATTTATGAGATCTCTCTAATCTACTATCAGATTGTAAACAAGTTTCAACTTTCAAATCGACGATAATTATACATTAAAGGATATTTTATTTGGGTGATATATTACGTACGTACCTAATCGTATTTGTAAAAATCCATGTTTTTTAGAATTAAGTTTGTGACCCAAAAAAACACATGCATATGTGCACCATTTTTTATATGTAAGACGTGTTAACATAATAAAAATGTTTATTTTCACTGGTTGTTTAAAATATATACAATATAATGAAGCGTGTAGTGACCCAAAAAAACAAAAAATACAGGTGCACCATTTTTCATATCTAAGACGTGTTAACATAATGCTTTTGTTCATTTCACACTGGTTGGCGGTTGCTTAAAACTAATAAAATATATCTACATGCATTTATATTTTACCTGAGGTGCAACAACACATTATGTTGCCATACAATTTACTATATTCAGTATATATTTACAGTTTAGATTTTATCCCTATGTAACATTCAACTTGTTTTTTAGAGTTCCGTACCCAAAGGGTAAAACAGGACCCTATTACTAAGACTTCGCTGTCCGTCCGTCCGTCTGTCACCAGGCTGTATCTCATGAACCGTGATACTTAGACGGTTCAAATTTCTACAGATGACGTATTCCTATTGCCACCACAACAACAAATACTAATAATAAAATAAAATAAATATTTAAGGGGCTCCAATACAACAGATATGATTTCTTTGCCGTTCTTATATAAAATGGTACTGAACCCTTCATGCGCGAGTCCGACTCGCACTTGGTCGGTTTTTTAAATTAACATCCAATTTCATTTTTTCTTCTATATTGATTAATCTTTCTTTAGAAGAAATAGGCCAATTATGAATGAAGTAGTCTACTTCGTGTTCCCAACGCCGATCACCAGCAGAACCTTGAAATGTATTAACATCGTTAGATTGCATATACTCTAATATTTTTTTGTTGATTGTCTACAATTTTAGAAATTTCTACTTTTAAAAAAGCTAAGTACTTTAATGTTGCTTTTTGGAAACCTAAGAAAAAGTAAAACAAACTAAATTATTAACAGAAATATTTTATACATTTGTAATTATTCACAGTACAAAAAATAATAAAATTCAAAATAAATCTGATTATATGACTAAATTCTTTAGCAAATGCTCAGTTTAACACATAAAATATGGAATACTTTACGTACGTACTTAACGACTGAGAATGAACTGGTTCTATTTTTTGAAACCGTAAAGACTGCGAGTGTGAATATCGCAGTTATTATGTGTTTCAACTTTCAATTGAGGTACTTCAATCTATTATTATTACATAACCTTTACAATGGACACTGATCAATAAGATCGAGAATTATTTTAGTACAATATTATCAACATTATATTTCCATTTTATATTTAAATAAAATAAGTTTAATTTATACATTTAATCAATTAATTTAATTTTTATTTATTCTCAAGAAGATAATGGGGCCCGATATGGTTGTGTATGTATAATATTAACTAATTTACCTGGTTTACCAAGGATTTGTATTTTTAATAAAAATATTTGTAAAAAATTGTAGATGCCATAAAAAAAAATTTTCGTAGGTAAACTGAAAATAAAATCATGTGTACGCTACAGAGCTAACCTTTAATTACCTAGGAGTTGAATAAAGAAGCTATATAAACATACTTTAAGTTTCAAATCATCTATGGGTTAAACTTTTATAGAGAATAAATTCTTCTATTCCTCCTATTCTTTTTAAAGAATATTATCTAGAATTCTAGTGCACCTCGAAATTGTGACGTAGATACGAGTTTTATACGTTTTGGCGCGGACGGCGAAAACACTGCACGTGTAGGTTTGGAGTCCACTTAAAAAATTGAAAAGTTTTAGCTATATACTTTCCAGGCAAAATCTTCATTTTCGATAGCGTGGAGCAGGGGCTTAGCCAGTGGGGAAGAGGTGGATTATCAGGTAACAATAAGTTTTCCCATGAGTTTCCGCATACTCTTAGAATATGATGAATTTTCAATAACATTTTTAATACGGATAAGTTAACAAAAAAAATTTGGCAAACACCAAACGCCCTTCTTCTCTTTCGCATGAGAAAATTCTGGCTACGCGCCTGGCGAGGAACAACCGAAAACAAACAATATTATAATGTAACGGTCAATGGATATCATAAACACATGGTATGACATATGATCACATCGCGTATTAATTACAATTATAAGACACATAATAATGTATACGTTAATAATTATTATATTATGATATTATGGTTCTGGGCCGGGCACCGATAGTGATTAATGGATCAAATCGGATCGATCAATCACGAGTCGCATACAACCATCGATGATAATGGCGATACTGCTATGATGATGGCTGTCGGTCTCTCTCTCGGCGTGGCTGCTGTGGTTGTATAGTAGCTGAGAAGCTGCAGCGAGTGCGACATCGGCCGGCAACGCAATTAAATTATCAATTCCTGATCGGTACGTATAGATAAGACACCATGAGCCACAGCAGAGTAGGTATATTATTATAATGAGACGAAATGAACGTGAGTTTTGTATTTAATTATTTATTTATTTCATATATGTGCATTATATTGATTCTATACTTTTATAGGTGGCGTAAATAGTATACACTGCAGCGTGGTGCTTCGGGACATTACGATAATATATTATATATTATTACAGTGGTCGCTGCTTATTAGATTCAAGGTAAATTGACTCATTCGCCTGTATTAGACTCAAAATGGCTGGTTCCGATTTGCATGTATACTAATACACAGCAAAAAATGTGTCTATTATACTCACACACCTTGGTTAATGGGATCATTATAAATCGAAGAATACGGGAAAATAAAATAAAATCTAGATAGATTTTTATCAACAATTATTAATAAGGTTAATTAGCAAAATGTTTTCAATAAAATACCCATACATTATTTTTATTATAATACATTTAATGAAATCTCAATAAATATTTTGTATATATTTTTAATTTTTAGGCGTCCTTTTACCTTATTGAATCATTCGGTTATTAAAATCAAATGGGTTGATCCCAAAGTAATACTAATAAGCAGTGATCACTGTGTATTGAACAGCTCTCAATCGCTATAAATCCATAAATATATAATGTTGTATATCAACTAATTCCGTCATGCGCACGCATGATTATAAAATATATAATATATATTATTATTATTCATTATTATAATATAAACACATACCCACAATAAAATTAATAAAATAAATTTTCCTATGCTCTGTGATAAATCAAATTAACTAATTCATCATGGTACCTATGGTCATAATAATTATGTGGCATAATTATCGTTCGTCAATCGTCAACCATTACCTAGGTTTCTTTCGTTTCAAGTGCACTAAGCAATAAGCACTTACTAACAGCAGCACTTTTAAAATAAATGCATGTTAAATCCATACTAGAATCACAATAGAATTTCTATTTTCCAGCCATACAGAAAAAAATACGCTGAATAATACAAGTTATACGAGTAAAAATTAAGATAAGAGGTATTGCCATGACGATAGAGATGTACAAAATGCATTATAATATAGGTACCACAGATGTCTATACTAATAATATAAATTATAATACATAACATAGGGGCTTGGTGGCTCGGTGGTTGGCCTGAGTCTCCAACGTGTTCTGAGGTCAAGCATCAGCCGGTGTCTCTAGTTCCCAGATGGGCTGCATCCGAGTTGGGTCCCAAATTTATAATTGCTACACTAGTTGGGTCCCGAATTATTTTAGGTACTATACTAGTTGGGTCCGGGATTTTTTTAGATACTACACTAGTTGGGTCCCGGATTTTTATAGGTACTACACTAGTTCGGTCCCGGATTTAAGTACTACACTATACTAACATTTTCCTTCCCATTTCAACAGACTTAGGACTGTCTATGATCTATTTAGACCACAGGTATGGTTAAAAATGTTTTTTACAGTTTTTTTTTTTTTGTTTTGTTTCTTTTCCATTAAAATATAAGTTATTAGAATTTTATAAAAAAAAAAATCACTTTTGTGTTGGTAAAAATATTTAAAAGGTTAAAAACAAAGTATAAAAATACATATTACATAATATAAATATAGCCATATAGGTGTAAATTAAAAAATATTAAAAATCACATGTGTGTTGGTAAAAATTTATACGACATTAATTTTACAAAATCAAATCGATTGATTATTCCTGCAATTTTTTTATTCATATTGTCAGCTATAAATTTTTCTTTTAGCAAAATGTAGTTTCTTTTTTTCATTACTTCTACACTTCTCATTTTGATATAAGTATCCATTTGTACGTTTTTTAAAATTTCTAGGAACTGATAAATATTTGGGTGTGCTGTGTAGAACATAGAATTAAAATGAGAATGGAATGATTCGCAGGAATTTGTGGTTCGCATTGTAGAGGCATTAAATTCTGACCAAATTTTTGGTGGAAATCTCGATTCTTCATTAATATAATTATCAAAAACATAATCAGTGAATTCTCGAATTTTACTGTCGTTCGGTTGGATACTCATTATATCTTCAATAAAACAATTTTCCACCTCTTCTGGGTGTAAAAATGGTAAGCCAAAAAAATATTTGAGATATTTACTTAATTCAGAATCACTTTTATACTCGTTTGTTAGTCCCAAATTTTGAATTTTCCGCCACCAGCTCTGTCCTAAATGGAATCTACACCCTTTAATATTTATTTCCGGCCATACTGATAAAATAGAATTATGAATAGCTTCTTCAAAGTCTACATATATTGTTTGAGGTAAAAATTTCAAATTAAGTTTTTCGCATTCATTACATAACATCCTAAAAGTTTGAGTATAAATTTCTTTTTGTTTATTTGGGAGTAGACAAAAAATAAGTGGAATATAATGATTATTATGTATTGTATGTATTGTAAACATTTGCATAAATATTTTTGGGCAACTTTTGAATGTGCCATCTACGTAAAATGTGTTCATGTTACTTAAAAAATTTAAATTTTCGACTGTGCAAAAAATAACTATGTTATATTGATTATCATTAATTAATAAAAAATTTTCTTGTCTGTTAGTTTTTATATTTAAATCGTTCAATACTTTGTGAACCTCGTCATAACTTTGTGGAATGTTTGGTAGAATATTTTTTCTCGCGTTATGAATATTTTTTTTAATAAGTGTACAATCGTAACGTGTTAATGTATCTATATCATTGTTTTTTATTTCGGAATGTAATAATTTAGAAGGTTTCTCACATATATCTTCTTGAGCTTTTCTCTTTAAATTATTATTTAATATCTGCCTATTTAATATTTTTTCGGAATCACAATTATGATTATGTGTCAAATTTTGATCAATAAATTGATTTTCGTTATATTTAAAAAATGACTTACATGATCTATGAATACATCTCCATCTTTCAATATCATTTTTCAGAAGTTTGTGAAATGAAAATTTATATCCTTCTATAATATATATTTTTTTGCCCTTTTCACTGAACATAACGTTAGAATCTTCCATAGTGCTAGTGGTTAGAATGCAGAACACTTACTACCAATATGTAACTATAGGTGTGCACCGTGTAAGCTATGTTGATAGATAACTCGTCGAGGTTTAACCGGCATTTATCGCTGTTCCAGATAGTTTATTATAAGATATGTCAAAAATTATCAGATATTACCGATAACACTGATATTATTACACGAATGTTCGAAAAATCCATGAGAGAAATATCCGATAATAGTCACATTATTATATACGTATAAGTACTTTTCATTTACTTTTCAATTTAATAAAATTGTATTAATATTATTGTATAATATTTTAAATAATAATCCAGGACCCAACTAGTATAGTACCTCTAAAAATTACGGACCCAACTAGTGTAGTATCTAAAAAAATCCCGGACCCAACTAGTATAGTACCTAACAATATCCTGGACCCAACTAGTGTAGTACCTGCGATTTAACCCTAATACTCGGGACCCAACTCGGATGCGCCGCGAAGATGGGTGACCACCCGGATTTTTAGTGATGATACCTAGCCCCAGATACTAGTTTTCCTCTATAAACCGTAATTGACGAACAAAATTACAAATGGCCATATAGTTACTGATGCATTAAGATCAATAAAAATAAAAATGTATGTATATAATACAGATATCCATGTAATGTACAGGCATATTATCTTATGATTTAAATAAAACCTAAAATATGATTACTTATTATTGTGAATACAAGTGTAAGATTAAACCAATGACTTATCTATACATAATAACATAATATATAGGAATAAGCTTGTCAGTTGTCTCCAACTAATAAATTATATTTCGTCTCCACCTCGCATGGCTGTGTAATCGACGGATGATCGTTGATTTATCAGTAATTGATCTATCTTAACGAGAAACTGAAGTGGTATTAAATTATAACTATAAATACCGGCTTATTTACATACCGATTGATTTGGGGGCGATAAGTACCTAAAGGTAGGTGGGTATTTAAAAATAAATGTTTCCTATTTATTTTATTATTCCCGGTCATGTCATCGCAACACAAGGCCTTTATTGTAGATCAGCTATAGTGCGAGTAGCCACCGGTCTTTCTGCTGTTTCAAATCTTTACTGCAATATTTAACACGTAACGTCTGAACAAATGTTTATGCAAATTATTCAATAATATTATTCCAAACAGTTTTTCACTCAAATATAACACTATATAGGATAGGTAACCTATCAGTACCTATAATCTTAATTTGTAATCAAACTATGTAGATAGTAGATTTATAATATTATACCATTGAGTACCTATACATATTACATATTTTTTTATTCTATACAATATTTATTATATATACCTAATATATTTAAACAACAATTTTCCACTACGGCCAATGAGTAGATATTAGTATATTACGAAAAGACTAAAGAGGCGACATATTTTTTTATTTAACCATTCAGATTTACCATCATGCCAATATTATGTAAGATTGATCGATATATATGTATTATGTATTATATGATGCACTGCTGTTGTGGCATTATGTATAACCACATAAGAATATTATTTTTTTTTTTTTTTTTATTTAGAAAATAAGGCTTCGACATCACAGGTCATTAGCCTAGCTTAGATTAAGAGTACAAGACAAAAAATAATATGGCTTAATGACTACGGAAAGGGTTTTTACATTGTTAAAGTTTGTTTATGAGGTGGATTTGAGTTAGAAAAGAGATAGTTTTAATAATATTATTTTCGTTTAGTGCTTCATCCATATTTGGTGGTATAGCTAGATTGTTTCTTGCGTCCCTGTACTTTGAGCAATCCTGGAAGATATGTTGTATTGAGAGGTCGGCGTGGCATTCGTCGCAGGTGGGAGGTGGGTTATTGTTGATGAGAAAAGAGTGGGTTGTGAAGGAATGTCCGATTCTGCATCTTGTGATGGCAACTTCCTGGCGTCTGTTGAGGAAGTAAGGTGGGTTCCACATTTTTGTGTCTTTCTTGACTGATTTAAGCTTGTTGGTGGGAGGAATAGCATCCCAATAATTTTGCCATCTAGCATATATTTTACGTTTGATGGATGATTTAAAGTCATTAGTAGGTAGGTCAGAAATTGTTGGGTGGAGAATAATTTTGGTTGCAAGGTCAGCTGCCTTGTCAGCCGTTTCATTGCCAGTAATACCAATGTGTGATGGAACCCAAATAAATTCGATGTTTTTGGTGGTCGATTTGAGTATTATTTGGATATTTTGGGTAGTTTCGTTTGAGGGTAGTGGGTTTTGAAGAGCAAGTAAAGCACTGAGTGAATCACTTAAAATTAGAATGTGATTTGAGTTGATAGTATTGGCTAATATGATAGCTTCATAAATGGCTTGGGATTCAGCCGAGAATATACAAGTTTCCGGCGGGAGCTTGGAAGGAGTGTGATATTTTTTTGAATTACTGAAAATCCAACGCCTTGAGTGGATTTAGAAGCATCAGTGTATATTTTTTCAAAGTGTGAATATTTGTCTTGGATAATTTCATAAAATTGCGAGGTGATAATATTGGGATTTGTGTCGTGTTTGTTAAGTTGTAGAAGCTCAGTATTGACTTTGATTTTCCAAATCCACGTGGGATGGCTTGGGTATGTGATTTTATTTTTGACAGATGTGTGTATGGTGAGTTTATTGATTAGTTGGAAGAAGATGTCATGTATAGATAATACGGGGTTTTTTGTTGGAAAAATTAATTTTGTGGTTTTGTCGTTGAAAAAGTTATTTTATCCCATGTGTTTTGGGGTGCTTTTTCTTTTTATTCCATAATTTAAGAGTTCTTTTTCCCTAAGTAGATTGAGGGGGAGTTCTCCAGCATAGCATAGAATGCTATCAATGGGGCTGGTTCTGAATGCTCCTATTGATAGGCGAATACCCTCATTGTGGATTGGATCCAATGTTTTTAATAGCTTTTCTTTGGCTGTAATATAAATTTGGGCGCCATACTGTATTTGTGATAATATAAGGGATTTATAAACTGTGATAAGTGATTTCGTTTTGGCGCCCCATGTATGGTGTGAAAGTGTTTTTATGATGTTCATTCGGACTTTACATGTACTTTTGAGCTTTTTTATGTGTGAGCACCATCTTAGTTTATTGTCGAATATCATACCAAGTACGCGGAGATTTTCACAAATGGGTATTGGGGAGTTTTTAAGGTGAAATTGTATGTTTGCTCTAGGGTTAGTATGGAAGGAAATACATTGGCTTTTACCAGCAGAGAATTTGAAGCCAGTTTTGTGAGACCAATATTGGAGTATATTTAGTGCGTCTTGTAGTATATCCACAGTTGTTTTGGTGTTTTGTCCGCTGCAGTAGATGTGACAGTCATCGGCGAATAGTAGGTGTTTTGTGGGTTTCGGTATGTTTTTGAAAATGTCATTGATGGCCAATAAAAACATTGTAACGCTGATAACAGACCCTTGGGGTAGTCCATTTTCTGTTTGGTGGATTTTTGATAGTTCTGATAAGGCTCTGACTTGGGTTTTGCGATTTTTTAGGAAATTTTGTAAGAATAGAAACATTTTGCCGTTTATGCCACTGTTTTGTATGATTTTGAGGACTCTATTCCTCCATACCATGTCATATGCTTTTTCTAAATCTAAAGATATTAGTATGAAGTGATGTTTTTTATTTTTAGCATTGCAGATATCCGTGTGGAGGGTGGCGAGTATGTCAATGGTGGAGTGATTTTTGCGAAAGCCGGATTGTTCCTTAATTATTAGGTTGGATGTTTCTAAGTGCCAAATTAGTCGTTTATTGACCATTTTTTCCATGGTTTTTGCTATTGTATTAATGAGTGAAATAGGTCTATAATTGATAATATCAAATTTGTTTTTATTGTGTTTGGGGATCGGTATTATAATCGCATTGTGCCATTGATCAGGGTATATACCTCTGTTCCAAATAATATTAAATATTTGGAGGAGAATATCATGACCTATTGTGGGTAGGTTTTGGATAAAAGAAAAGGGAATCCCATCAGGACCGGGGCTTTTGCTTTTACATCCGGATAAGACAGTATAGAGTTCATTTCGACTAAAAGGCATATTAAGGTGGTTGTCTTCTTCGTGGAAGTTGATTTCTAGTTCCTTTTTGAGGTTATCTCCGACGGTATTTTTGAATTTGATAAATTCTGGGTCATAATTTGAGCAGTCACTATTTTTTTTGAACTGTTGTGCAAATGCTTCGGCTATATCTGAAGGTAGTGAGAGAGTATCGTCATTAAAACGCAGGTTAGGTGGTAGTGGTTGATGATTTATGCCCTTAATCGATTTAATTTTATTCCACATTTCCGTTG